CATCTATGTTTTCAGATTGTTGCTTATCTACAAAAACCTGCAGGATATTTTAAAAACTTACACACCTCAGTTTATAGTGTATGCAATCTTAGCATCTTGGCTCATTAGTAAATTAAATTATTTACTTAAATTTTCATTTAAAAATAGCAACTTCTGTAATTGTTGTAATTGTACAACATTTTTTTTTTTTTCCCCCAGTACCCACTCTTGCTTGGCAGTAACGGGGTGTACTACTTCTCCTTTCCATATGGGGAAAAGGACTGCTCTACTGCTGCCAAAATCAATCTTGTCTGCAATAAGGATAACTACTGGGTAATCTGTTTGAACTAGCCAAATGAATGACAGACATGTGAGAGCGATTCAAGTGGCTATCCACAACTATTTTAAATTAAATTGACATTGGGGGAAACGTTGTGTACCCAACTCGGTTTCCCATACACTAAGTATTTATAACTGGTTCCCATGAAGATTGCATACTTGCATAACCAAACCAAGAATTAGGAATAAACTCTCCCTGACTTGCATCTGACAATGAAATCTCCTTTCCATTCCAGAATGAGAGTGCAGTTACAGTCATCCCAAAAGATAAGACTTCATCCCAAAGCAGCTACAGCTCTTCCTTCCTCTCATACAACCTGAGGAAAGGGAAATGGCCTCGGAGTTTCTCTGCACACACTCTGTACCCCTCTTCTGGCAGTTGTATTTCCTGACACCTGTTTAAGTCTCCTCATCCATCTAAATGGAGTGAAGAAACATTCTGCAGGCAATTATAAATCTTTCACATAAAATAAAACTCAAATGCTCAAATTGAGAAAGTTTAATATAAATATTTTCATGTGAATATTTGAGGTGAGAGCAAAAGAATCATTCACAGATAATAGTGTCAATATAGAAGAAACAAAAACTATGAAAAAAGCTGCATGTGCATAACAAGGTTTTTTTTAAAGTTCAGTTCTTGTTAAAAAGAGAGGAATTTTGTATAGTTTAACATACATAACTATAGACAGCATAAAGTCCTCATAATTTCCAGTCACACCTGTAGACACTGAACCAGAGTAAGGCTAAGCATGCAGATCATCAGCCTCCTTGTAAGAGCGGGAAAGGCAGGAGCTCCCAGCCCTGAGTTTTGATCTTATCTGCAGTAAGCAAATGACCCTGCCAGTAACCTGCAACATGGGTAACTTCACTCCTTGATAAACTCATGGAAAAAAATACACTGAATGCTATTAAATGTAAAATTCCTATGTCTGCATAAGAGATCTCTAAATCACAGATCACCAGAGGCAGAACAGGACAGTGAGAGAAGCATCACTGTATTTGCCCTGTTCACACCTCCTCTTGCTGCCACACTGCTACTAGCCAGAGGTGGTGACCATGGTATGCAACACTTCTGACATTCATTTAGTTTTTCTTCAGTAAGTATTGCTATTTATCCAAGAAGCTTCAGTTCTAAAGAAGTCCCAATGCCTAGATGGTGGGATGGCATTCAATAATGGACACAACAAAACAGTCATTAGTTTAGCTACAGATTGTGACTAAAAAAATATAAAAATAAATAAAAGTACTAGCACGTGAAATGAAAAGCAAATTAATAGTCTATACGCAGTCACAACAGTAGAGGCTAATCAGACTGTTAGTCCATTAGTAAAACCACAAGGTTTCACTCCAGCAGCTCTGAAACAGTAATGGGTTTTCCCATGAAAACTTGAAAGAAAAGGTGAAAAAAGGTTTGTGTGGTATGATAGAAAGGAATGCCAGACACGGCTTTGGTCAAACATTCCCATTAAATATTTTCCCATTACCCCCTAGGTTCATTCACAGGCCACTTCCACTGGCTATTTACCAAGGAGGTTTAAGGTAATGTTTACTGCTCTTCAGTGTTTTTCAATTCTCTAAGCTTACTGGCACTTCCTTTAAAAAATCCTTGTGAAATCAAAAAAGTAACACATTAATAATTTATGTTTTCTCTTCACAGTAGATTTTCTGTTATTCTGATTATATACATTCTACCAATAAACTAGTATACAACTGCCCTCAAACAGTCTTACTATTTTCATTTTGTACTTGAAATAAATGACTAATGATGCCCTTTTTCTTTCACAATTTGGACTAAATGCAACTGAAATCACTGAAATTATTTTCATGAGGAATGAGGGCAGGTTAGGCTCTTTGCAGATATAGATATTGCTGTATTTGTGATTTTACTACATGCATTGGCATAGTGTAATTGCATCTATGCAATGCCTAAAAAACTAAAATAGAAACACTGAAATGACATACTTAAGTTGTAGATAACGTAGGTAAAGAAGTATGATATTTAGTTACAGAAGACAAACTGAAGTCTTAGACAACATCATGTGTTTAACTACACTAACTGCTATCTGCTTTTTTGAGAGAGTACAGGGAAAAAATGGAAACTAGGAAAGTAATCCTTAAAAAGCAATTAATTACTGCACTGCTGAAAAAATGCTTTGATAAACTGCACGCAGGATATTATTCTACCAATTTACAGGCCAATGATCTTTTCAACAAACAGCAAGTACTGCTTATAAAATTAAAAAGCCAGCTTCTTGAAAATTCATTTGTTTTAGCATGCCTTTATATTTCATCAAACATTGCAATTTGAGAAGAATAAGAAAAAAAAACTAATGAAAAAGCTGAAAGATATAAACAATAGAAAGATCTTGAAAAAATATACTGCTTTTATTTTGTAACACCACTGATTTTTTCTTCTTTTAGATTCAGGTTGATATGCTTATCTGTGTTTTTCTTAGATGTGTAGTGTTGAAGCTAGAAGCTAGACAGATTGATTGTAGAGGTATTATTAGTGCTGACTCACTGAAAATTATGTCAAGAGATCAGCATTTATAACTCTCAATTCTTTACTTATATGCATTATTTTCATTTGATCCATTATATTCAAATCAGGAGAATGACAGTCTGAAATTTTATAACTACAAATGAATACAAACAGCAGCACTGAAACTCTATAGACAAAAGTAATTTACTACAGTCTTAAAAAGTACCATATAAATATCAGCACCTATATAAATTTATAGTATAAAATTACGAACCTGCTGAGATTTGTACACGTACTTAAAATTTTACTATGTGAGTGGCCCCAGTGAAGTCACTTACTGACCTCTATTTTGTTTTTTCCAACAATTTCCTACTGTTGGTTCTCAGCTTCACATCTCTTTTGCATTTTGATGCAGAAGAAAAGAAATTTACCTTTCAACTCTGAGACAAACTGATAGCAAAATAATCTTTTCTGGACTCTCTTGTACATTATCTACCTCAACAAGTAAACAGGCTCTCTATTTCAGAGAATTAAAGAACCATTTTTCTGGGAGATAAAGTTAGCAAACAAAAATTGTATTTCCTTTGAACCCAAAACAGGTAGGTTGGTGAGCAGTAATTCTCACTATTTAATTACTTTTGGAGATATAGGATCCACCATTGACAAGCTTCTCATTCTTGTAGTCTTAAAGCTCAAGTGAAGCTTCTGTACATTGTTAATGAGGTTCACCACCACTAACTGGAAATGCCACTACAATCACATCCAGAAAATGAGCTCTAAGGAGTCCAAATTCATTACGAGTGGAATGGCTAAGCTACTTTCCTGTGCCCAGGGACAGAAGAACTCCTACAATAATTTACCTCTCATACTATCTTATGTAATTGTTTTCCTCTTCTCTGAGGGGATACTGAGGCATTCACGTTTTGTCTCAGAAAAAGGTTATATATACACTTGGTTATAACATTTGTATCAGAAAATTAAAATCCACTAGAAATCCTCATGAGTTAAGCTGAGGTTTGGTATGTTCCATAGGATAAAAAAAATAAAATACAAGTTATGCTATCTTTAGAGAGACTCTTTAGTACTAAAGAAAACTTCAAATGTCACATAAAATCTGTATTTGGAATATATATTTGAAATAAAAACAGAGGGTTTTCTTCCCCTGCAGAAAAAACACATGCTTTCTGCTCTGACATGAATTCTGCATTATTAATTTGCAAGACTGCTGCCACAGAAATGATGGCTATAACAAATTTATCCATAAGCAGATTTTGCTTTAGGATTAATTAGAAGAGAAAATGGGATTTGAAAAGAAAACTAAGTAAGGATGTAAATTCTGTATAAATGATCTCCAGCACAAGAGGTTTTGGACTGCTGTACTAGGAAAGACTGCTGTGCTGGGTTAAGAAAAGTGCAGAAGCAGAAAACAATATCCTGAAACAAAGCGACAACGTTGCTATCTGACAGACTGCAACAATTAATGGGACTTTGGCATACATTGCCATACTTAAGTAATGACAATTCTGTTTTAATTTCTCCCACTCCTGTTTGTTACAATCTACAAGCTTACTTGTGTATACCACAAGAAAGGAGCTATTCTCAACTATGATATTAAACTTTTTCCTTCTGTAAAAGGGAATAGGTAGGCAGTTCAAGCCATACACAGACTCTTCACAATTTTAGGTTTTTATATTACAAGTGAGAATGGTATTTTTGATGGAGGGATTCCTAATGATGCCTTCTTTTTGCCATGAATTGTTACATTTACACAAATTAGAATCTGTTGAAATACATTCTACAGTAACCACATGTCTAGTTTCAGGCACAAGAAAGAGTTTTGTCACAATATGGTATTTCATCATAACTGGTGGAGTAAACAGCATAAACATAAGAACTTTAGGATTTGTGCCTTCCTTCACAGATCTAGAAGGGTTCACAGAGATCCTTGAAAAATGCAATGTTAAGACCAAAGAAGGGATCTCCTTGTGCCTAAACACCACCTTATCCCAAGATTTTATTTTATTTTTTTTTCATTGAAAGGAGAATAGCACCTATTCAGGCCTACCTCTATCTCTTAAATATGGAGTAGAAAAAGTACAGTAGTGTCAGTAAGTCATTACCTGTGTAAAGGGGAAAAAATATATGAATACAATTTCATTCGTATTTTCAACAGTTAACAAAAGAAAACTCAAATACATACCGCATCTGTAACTTCTATCTCATACAACTTCTGGAATGTCTCCCGATAAAAGAAAAAAAGCTTCCCACTGCCACCACCTTTCTTAACAGAGGTGCCTGTGACAAGTATTTTATCATCTGGGCTGAAACAACAATCTGTCCTGTTGAAGAAAACAAATCATCATACTGGGCAAATCAATAATTAATGTATAGAGAACTTATACATAAATTGCACTCCTTAAAAAGAATCCTTTCTATTTGTTAATCCTTTCAAGACAAAGCTTTTTAAAAAAAAATCTTTTGTCAGCTGTCATCTATTACTAGAGTTATCAGACACAGTTCACATGTGCAATTACAGATGTGCAGAGAATGTGCAAAACTGGCAGATCCAATAAAAATTCTCGTCCGCTCAAAAGTCTTATAAACTTTTCAAACATGAGAAACAAACAAACAAAAGTATTTACAAATCCAGTTATCATTAAGTAAAAAACATAAATCAGTCACTAAAACTGTTTTTGCTGATGATACATTCTTCAATGGTGCAAGGCAGTGTGTTTATACAGTGGCCAAAAATGTTTGGCTGTTTGCTTTTCCTCTATGCTACAAATTGTAGTCAAGATTGAGCTATCCATGACTTGCCTTTCTAAGATCTTATTTCAAAAGTGTAAGTTTTCCTTAGAGCTGCATTTGGCTGTGCTACAGCTATAGAAATGCAGGTAATACCAATAAAAATACTAAATACAATACTTAGCACTATTCAGTACAATATAGCATTTTAGTACCAAAGAACACAGTTATCAGCACTTTTAACACCACAACCTGAATTCATACCATGCACCTTCATGTTATGTCTACTTTTCAATTCAGCTGGTTTTTTATTAATCAGAGACCAAGTAAGAATGAGGATTACTTATATATCTCATTACACAAACATAAGGCAATGAACCAGCCTCCTCCTGAAAAGCAGCTAATCTAATTAGACATAGGACATATGAGACTGATAAACGGCATAAAACAAGCAAAGCCAGCTATGAATTATCACAAAAAAACATGGGACCTTTTAAAGCAACACAAAGTCCTAAAATAGCCAAGAATCCTCATTGCACGGTGCTCCCTGTGCAGTTCTTTCTGCAGTTTTGGACCTGGGGAGAACTGAGGAGCAGAACTCCAGTAGACTCCCTCCCATTTAGCATAACTACTGCTATTTCTACTAGCTGGAATAAATTAGTGTACTTACATTGGAAAGAAGCTAGGCAGTCTTTCTGCTGCATTAAGAGGCTTTTTAAATTGTCTAATATCCCATATCTTTAAGGTATCATCTCCTATGAAACAAAACGGGCAAAGGTTAGCACTAAAGAATTTAAGTCAAGAATCCAGACATGCAGAAATCTTCATCCCCTAATTCAGACACAAGAAGAGAAAAATGATATGGTAGAAACATTCAAAAGAGGATGGTCTGGAAGTTTTTTGTTCCTAAATGACTGCGAAGGTGCAAGCATGAGAAGTTTCACCTGCTGCACTCCAGTAGATCAGAAACTCCTCCTCAGTGCCTCAACTCCATCATGGCAATCCCTCCTACCAAGAACCATTATCCACAGTGGAATCAGATTCCCTAAACACTAATTTATTCTGTGTTTGTGAGCATTGGTGCTTTGCTACTAGGAGTAAATTTAACTTTTAAGACATCAAAAGCAATTAAAATGTTACCATGGATGGTCTAGATCAAAAACTAAAGAAGTTTTATGTGTCTGGTTTCTACCTGCCCTGAAAAAATTATCAGGAAGAACGGAAGGCAAATGAAGTCTTCCCCCTTCTATAGCAGGCAAACAGCAACAAACTGCAATCTCAAGTACAGAGTATAGGTCCTGGAATCAGTCAGAAATCCTTGGGGAATGGGGAGAAGGGAAGCAAGTGAATCCACACTTGCTATAATTAAACCTTTTCACACCCCTCCGCAGCACTTTTGGCCATAAAAGCCAGAATCAAGGTTACAGCAAGACATTTATAGCAATTCTTGTCTGCGTTTGACAAACCTGGTGTGACTGTAAGCCAGTAAAAGTCAGGCTGTTTATTCCTTTTCAAAAAGTTATGACATATTAACAAAGTGGGACCAGGAAACAAAGAGATTAGCTAGTTATTCTCAGAGAGATCCACATCTGTGCTTATCAACGCTCTGGGATACATATTTCCAGCATGAGACAAGCTATGGAATTTGAGCATTGAAGCACCTCACTCAGGCACCTAGACATCTCATTGCATTTGACATCAGTGCCTCAGCACTTTCAAGGGTGAAAAGAAGATCTTTCAAACAGCAATTGTGTTTAAAAATATCCAGAGATTAATTTTAGACTAGTAGTTACAGTTTCCTCCTGATCGAGGAGGAAAAGGAGGCAAGTGGCTGGTAATCCACAGACTTGCTTCCTTCCAAAGTACAATCCTCGCATGGAAGTAAATTCTCCAAAAGTATTTTGTGGATTCACAGCCTTTGAGATCAAGAGCTTAAAGGATGCCTTGGAAATAAAATGTTTAAAAAAACCAAACCAAATCGAAAAAAAAAAACCCAACAAAAAAAAAAAAAAACAACACCAAAAAAAACCAACACCAAAAAGAAATCAAGGCCAGCAGTACCCTTTACAGGGAAAGCAGTAATGTGTGGCCTCGTACATCATGTATGTTTATACTGAAGACTAGGATAACTCCTTACTACAAAATATTTTTAAGAAGTGGACAACTTAAATAAATGATGTCTAGAGCAGAGTATATTTCTGTTCATTGGGAAGCTAAAAAAGAAAATCACAAGAAAGAAAAATGCAGAGTCTCTACTTTGGGAATATCTGTTTCTTATTGTTCCCCAGTAGATTTCACCCCAAGCACTTCAAAGCATTTGGTCTTGTAATATAAGCCCTCCATTTGCCCTCCCATCCCCAACAAAAGAAGCACTTATCAATGAGATATTATATCTAAAGCACTGGCATTTTATAAATGTATGCAAAGGATACCATTTGGCCACTCTGCAAATCCCCCGAATAGGGACAGACCTAAGGCTAGCAGCCAAAGCTGTTCAAGGCTCATCCCAGTGGAATGAGCCTTGACATGATCTTCAAGTTGTAGTTCTGCCAGGCTTTAGCAGGAGAGATGCAGTCAGACATTTAGCTATAGCTCTTCTGCTAACAAGAAAATGTAATCTGCTAGTTTAAAAAATCAGAAGACTCTAGAAGGACTCAAAAACTCATGGTTGATTTCAAATCAACACAGTCTTACATTGTGCAGAAATAGATGATTCAGTATTTGGAAAGGGAGAAATGCTATCAGAATGACTTGGCCAATGCTGTAAAACTCTTACCACTGTTAAGAATTTTGCTTAATTAATTTTTTTTAATTGAAATTTTCAGTGTTGCAAATATGATATTGGTTCCTGAATCTGATCTGCATTTGGAGTTTAAATCACTCTCACTAAGAAAACAGATATATTAACATTCCACACAACCAGGGGTTTTTTCCAGTAGCATCCTTCCATTGATGCTAAAGGGGCTTCTTTAAAAGAGCTGCAGCAGTACTGACCCATTTTTAATTACTTCATAGAGAGAAAAAAACAGTTATCCTTAAACGAAAATATAAAACCAGAAGTTGTGCAGTTCAATATGATTCATTCAAAATAGTCCACTCAGGTCATTCAGTATTTTACTTGATGGTAAACTTCTCCAGAGCCTGGGAGGATTATTTAAAACTTTTGAAGTATTTTCAGTAGCATTTCAAACTCTATTCTTTGCCATTTTAGTAAGAAGGATACCAATAAATAGGCTCTAGTCTAGTATGACCAACTTAGACAGCATTAAGCCAATGGTATAGAGCACTGGATTTACCAAGAGGTAACAATAAGGTCCCAGGAACAGAGCCTTTGATGAGTCAGGATAGGCATTTTGCAAACAACTTTTAATCAAAATAAGGCCAATGCACTACAGAGATTTTATCTGATTATTTTTTTTTTTTTTTCTTTTCAGAAGATACTGACCAGGAAGACAAGTACATGGATGGAAATGGGCCCAAAAGAAGCAGAAATGCTGACAGAAACTCAAAAAGCATAAACACCCTACAAGAAGTTTCTGTTTTAAAGAGGGAGTCCTGTGTTGAAAGCAAAGCTTAAGGACAGAAATTCACAAAGATCATTTGGGAAAGCAAAGAAACATAGGCAATGAGAATTTAAAAAAGAAAATACAGCATAGGAAAGGTATAGTATAACAAGGCTTTCCGTGAGGGAGAATCCAAATATACTATTATGTCAATAAACTCTAAGTCTTTCTGTGAAGGCTTATACTATATATGTGAGGAGAGGCACCTTACAGAACAAGGTATATGCTTCTGCATTTTGCACTGGTTCTGCAAGAGGAGCTGCAACAGGTGGAGAAAGACCCTATACAAAACAGAAAGTAACCACATGTGCTGCTACATAATCCTTGAGTATACAAGCAACTGTACTTAAAGTCTTTCTACTTTTTAAAACAACTTCAAATTTTTTTTTTCTTCGAGAACATTGTGAAAAGAGAAATACAGCTAAAACAAAAAAACCCCCACAAAATCAAAAGGAAATACAAAAACCAATTTTTCAGCTCAAAAGAAAGCATGTGTCTGCACATAAGCTAGCTGATAGGCTTAGATGGGAATATTTTTATGGGGTTTAACTATGGCGAACTTATTTTCCTATGTAAGTTTATTGATTAAGATGGCACTGAGTCTACATTGTTCATACCACAGAAAACATATGAACCATCAAATAATAGCTATAAGGAAATTCTTGTATTTAACAAAGTTATTGCTTCATATTATGACAAAAACTAACCTCATAGATTTTGTGCATACCATGAGTCAAAAAAAGTTTTTTAAAATTTTTATAATAGGACGCCAAGTCCAGTCCTAAGGCTTACCTCTTCACTGCTAAACAAAGAAAACATTCCCCAAATACTATCTTCACTGTACGTAGAAAAAGTTACTTTCATGGTTACAAGTGTGCAAAAATAACACTTTCTTAAGTTTCTGTCAAGTTACTACCTAATACCCAATAAGAGTAAGACTGGGAACTCTCATAAGCAGCTCCTTAGTTTTTTATTTTCCCCTGTGTTTCCAGCTGAGCCCTGCCTCATCTCTCTCATATCCAACACAGAATCTACATTAGATGCAGGAGAGTCAATCAGGCTTTCAATGAAAGTCCCCATTCCCCAAACAACTATCCTGTCTTTGATCCTCAGCATCTGGCAGGTGTGTTAATCTATGAATGCTGGATCTACATCTGCTTTTGCTGGTACAGATCCAAAGCAATACTCATGTTAAAGCACTAACCAAACAAGTCAAAATAAGGTATGAATCCTCCTTTAGCATAGCACACAGAGCTTTTTTATTTTTTTTTTTTAAATACACTAGACAAAGGTAGCACTTTTATCCATATTGAAGAGTCAGATTTCCGTACAGTCTTACACTCCGCAATCAATCAATCAATCAACAGTTCATGTACCTTAGAGTAGAATGTGGTGGATAAAACATAAATAAGTGAAAGTCTGTTTAACATGACACAAAATCTGGAGACAGATGAGGAAGAGCAGACAACCAAAAGAGCCACATGCAACAAAAAAGCAAAGGTCATTTATGTGACCTTTACATAAATGGAGGTTTCAAGACAGCACTAGTGAATATTCCTCACATAAGTATTAACTTTGTTTGCTGTTAATATTTAAAAGCACACTGAAGTTTCTCTTTAAATCTTATGAAGTATGCCTCTGTGAATTTTTGGGGGGCAACACCACTGGCAGACAGATACAGCATTTCACTTAGCCCAGAACAGAAAGACAGATATTTCACCTACTTTCCAAGGAGGAGAAGCTTCTTACATAGTAAGCACCTGGTTCAGTAATGACCAGCAAGGTTGAAAGTTTTTACCTGAACCACTTCAGACTCATTCATAATGAGTACAGTGGCAGTAGAACTCTGGATCCAGGAGCCTGAACAGTAATTAAGAAACAATCCAAGTGCCATTAGAATGCCTTAGTAAGCCTAGGGCTGTCAAGGACAAGACCACCATCATCTTACTCTGAAAGATGTGTCCTGGGGGACATAATGTGTGGAATCTTTGAAACATGGCAAGACACACAAAGCAGTCAGAGAGGCAGCATCCAATAGCAACTGCATACCGCTGTAAAAGCCACCAGTGCCACTCTACTCATCAGGGACAGGGACGGTGGAGGACACAAAGCAATTGCAAGCTACTGGTCTTGGCTTGCACATCCCCTGCTTCAGAGGTTTTGCTGTCTATGAATACCTCTGTCCTGGTATTTTGTATATGTAATCTCATTCTGTCTATGCACCAAACTGACCAGATGTCCTGTACATATGTTAGGCACAATGTTAGCTGACATTAACATACACTGCCTCTCCCTAGGCCTGTTTATTTGGCCTTGGGGCCATGCTAATGCATACACATAGCTTCTGGTTACAGCTGGTTTCCATCCAGACAGCTTGGATTGTATGCTTGCACCTGCCTTCAAAATACTGGGTAGACAAATCTCTGTATGAAAAGCTGTCTTAGACAGACATCACTCTATCCAATATGTCTAGTACTGGAGTGAATGAGACCTCAAATATATCTTTGCCTTCTCAAGACTTGTTCTGTTACCTAAGACTTTTTTAAATAAAAGTTTTATCTGAAGTTTAAAAAAGTAATTTTTTTCTGTCCTGTAGACATTCAGAATTTTTTTGCCATTCAAGTACATCTTGGCCACTCACAGTCTTCACCTCTTGATGTCTGTAATATAAACTACATAAAAATTCCAATTAGAACAGAAAAAGACATTGCATAAGAAAGTAGATTGAGGAATTAATAGCTCTAGAACAGAGAAACGGTTATAGAGAGGCAGTAATCTTTCCAGAAAGAACTAAGAAATGAAACTGGTCTTGTTTCATTTTTAATTAAGCTAATAATTTCATTTTGGTGTATTATTAATGCCAGAAAAGAAGAGACAGATAAGGAACTGTGTAATATAAACAGCAAAGTTATCTTAAAATATTTCTTAACTGCTGTAAAATGAGCTTTCAGGAGCACAGTGTTGCATATTGTAACAAAATAAAAGATGTAAATTGTGAAACACTTCAGGTTTAAATCACTAGTACTGACTTCACTATCTTTCCTCCATCATAAACAATTACATTTAACGATTACATGATTCAAATGGTTTGTTTACCGAACCATTTAACTTAGTAAAGTTAAAATTATCTTACATTCAACACATCTCTCGATCACCTACCTCCCCGGCTGGCAAGGACAGTACCATCATAGGAAAATGTCAAGCATGAAGTGTCGGTGCCTGGAGCATGCGCTTGCCTGCAGTGGAACTTTGTGTGTACCTGTTTGTTAAACAAACAAAACATTACAAAATTAGCTTATTTCAAGATGGGACAAACATTTATTCATAGCATTGTATGTACTCTGCTGCTATTCCTAAATTTAAACCTGCATTTTTAGAAGGTACAGAAGCTAAATATTTCTACAGCCTTTTAACAATGTCATACATGTTTCAGAATAGGCTTTCACAATAAGAGCTGGAATGCAAAATGGGACTTTTTCACAGGTTTACTTACACAGTCCACATTTACACAGCATCAGTGCTCTTGGAACACTCCCACAAGCACTGAATAAAGGTAGTTATGCCTGGTTAAGATAAAAATACATTTTAAGACAGTTCTCAACATGCCCTGAAGCAGGCTTATAGTTACCAAAAATACCAAAATACAATACACATACTTTAGGAAGGACTCAAAAAGATTGGAAGAATTTTCTTTTGACAAATTTAATCCTGGACAAAATTCATGGCTTATATAACAGAAAAAAGCTCAAGTATTTTGAGGTTTGTGTCCCATTTAGCGACAAGAAAACTCAAGCTTGTGAATGATGTGTATGTTTATTTTTAATTATTTCTATTTTGCTGATAATCCTAGGGAAAGGTAGAAAGTACTTTAAAGTTAACATTTGGTTCTTACATAGAGTTGGCTTCTTATTTATTCAGTCAGTATTTGGTAAAATGTCTAGAAATTCTATTAAAGGAGGAGGAACCTCAAATTGAATTTTACCACTTTTGTAAAATGAAGCTTTCCTACTTCCTAACCAAAAACAAGAGTCTCAGCTAAGACTTCAAAATGCCTTTCATACACATGAAGGGCAAGTGGAAGAATAAGGAAAAGACAGAAACAGAGAGGAAGGAATTTGAAAGAGGCTGGCTCCTTTTTAACATATAGAAAATTACACTTCTCATTTGCCGTCTTTTCCTAACATAAAACGCTGTAAAAATAAAGCATTCAAGAATTATATATTGCCTGTGCAACTGTACCTCAGTTTCCCATCTATAAGATGAGGATGAAAACATTCCCGTCCTCATACAGAGGGCAAGAAGACTAATTAGTGACCTGAAAGTCCTTTACTCATGATAGTGATGAGCAAAACAGAAAAATATGCGTACAAACATATATTTTCAGAGCAGGGTTTGAACAGCGTTAAGTCAGATCTAGAATTACACCCTGAACAGAAAGAGGACAAAATACTGAGCAGCTGCTTAGTGATTACTATCCAATCTATGCATTAAAAGAGACATAGTTCTACAGTATAGAAAAGGAGGATGTGATCACAAAATGCAAACACGCAGTCTGAATTAAGCTTGCACAGGAATCCCCAGTTACTGTATCTTCTAATTTTTGACTATGTACTTACTAAGGCTCTTTTTACGGGCTATTTTGTATGCAAAATACCCAAGCTAGTAAAGTATTTAATGCTGTTTACTCTTTCAAGTATTTGTTCTAAATTTGTCCAAAAACTAGATAAATCTTTTTGTGATTACATTAATAATGACTGCAATCTTATTTTGGTGTGCAGATTTAGTCAAGTTTTGAGAAGAGTCACGTAAGTCATTCCTTTCACAAATGACGCTTCAACAAACAAAGGAGTTCAAACACGAAGTAAATGCTTTTTAAATTATTTGGAAATAGAAGGTAATAGCCTACATTTAGCCATAGTACTTGTTTTGAAATTACTGTAACTTCTGTCTAATTGTGCATATCCTGGAGAAATTCTATGAACAGACCATAATTTACAACTGTATGTCTTTGGTGGGGGTATTTATAAATACTAAGAAATATATTTTATGCACGCAATTACATAAAATTTTCCAAGTATGTGGTAACATACAAAGGATAAACTGTGAATTGGCTATAGGAAAATAAATTTTCTGTAATATTTGTTAAACATTAACAAAGAATTAAAATGATGTATTTTCTGTCTAAGAAATACCACGGCCACTTGCAAAAACATCATAAATGGTTAAGAATCACACCTTAAAAAATGACAGAAGGATTACAATATGGTATTTAGCTATTTCAAATAAATTGGAAAAACTTCATTTGGGCTCCACAACACTTGTCTACTCAACACTCCCATCCCTCCCTTGCAATGTCACACTAACATACATGTATTAAAGTAACAGTTTTTCATTTTGCTGCCCAACTTAATGCAAGGGTGGGTTTTTTCCCTTTCATTTCATTGATTTCCCAATCAATTCCTTCCTTTTGTTTTGTTTTGGATACAAAGTAAAAAAAAAAAAACCAAACTGGGGGTTCAACTAATGCCTTTTCTTTCAAGTTTTACTAGTAAAAAACCCAAACATCTATATATATGTAAATAGATAGATAGATAGTAAATAAATCACATAATCAAGGAGCTTTGTTATTTTTCTATAGTCAAAGATACTGAATTTATAAATCCATTAATCAAACCTAAACCGTATCTTTCAGGAATTAAATAGCTCACCTTAAATATGTCACCCACTAAAAAGCCTTCTCAATTAAATGCTTTTACTTCAACCAGTTCTTACCCTTTTTCAACTCTTCCATAAAGAAAAATAGCAACATAGATATCCAAAACTCAGATATTATTTGCCCCTGAATCACAAAAATGAAAACAGCAGTGCAAATTTAGCGCAACTCTATCCAACTTCGAAGCCTTAGGATTTCAGGTAAAATGAGACTCTTCTGAAAGGGACAGTAAGATTATTCCAGCAATTCTGTTTGCCTTTGAAAATAAATTTGCTCAGTTTACCAGTAAAAATATTGTTTTCCTAACTTTGAGCTCTGCAAGCTTGCCCTCCATATATTATTCTGCAAAGGAATATAACCCTGAATTGTAATACTAAATCAAATATTCTAAAATGATTGAAGGTTGTGCTAAAAATGATAGAAGGTTGAACAAGAAGTTTTTATACATACTGGCAAATGTTCGTTGCCGTTTTCAAAGAAAATAATGTGTTTGGCCTTTGGCCTCTTAACATTTTTAACAGATGTCTAATCTTGCTAACAAATCATTAGCAAAAAAAATTGTTATCAGAATGTTTCTTGCTGGAAAGACATGAAACAACAGAACTAGTGCACACAATTCAAAAGTTTAATCCAGGAAGGGAAGCAGAGAGTATTGAAACAATAGATAAAGATGTAAAGATAATTAGTGTAAAGTGTATCTACATTTCTTCCTCATTACCCTTCTCCTTTTGTTGCAGAGGTGGCTGCTCTTACGGAGCACTAGGCATGTGTCATACAAAATTTGACAAGTTCATAGTCCTTAAATTTTTTTAAAAGCTAGTTATTTCAGCAAATTCTGCAGCAACACACTCCATCTTCTGTAACTTGTTTGAAGGCTTTCTACCAAATAACTCAAGCAATGTAAGCACTTTCTTTCTAGCTTTGTATTCACATATATATTTTTGTTAAGCAATTACAGCTGACTGGACTTGTGGGCAACATGAAATGACAGGCAGAAAACATGAAGCACATGTGAGAAAGGATGCAGTTGGATCTATCAAAAAAACTAGATAACAGATAAATGTCAGGGCTTGCAATATCGCTACAGTCCTCATAGAGAGGATGAGAACCAGAGGATAAAAGGAAGCCAGAGAAAGGATCGTGAAAAGTGGGGGGAGGGGGGAAGGTACACGACTGGAAAGTCAGTAATGAATATCCCTTCTACAAAAATCTGGATGAAGAGGACCAATAGTGGAAGTGAAGAAGACAGTAGCTACATAAAGTGTTTATCACAAATTAATGACTTACAGCAGAGCTGCAAGGTTAGAGTTCTGTGCTACACAACTGCTCTCCTTCTCCAGCATACTAAGTAAAACATGTTGTAGGAAAAGCAGAAGATAGACCTAGTCAGTTTGTTCACCTAAGAAATTCAAGCCACGTCTATGAGGAAAACAACAATACAATTTAACAAATTACATTTTAAAATGTCATTTAAAACACATTGTTTCTAGTAGACAGTATTTCACAGTAAGACGACACTTTCCCAAGATTATAATGCTTCCCCCCACTGCCAGTTTTTCTTTTAATGAAACAACAAATGTCCCAGCCAATACATTCTTCTTCCTTCTCGTTCCTAACTTCAAGATTTTTTAAAAGCAGAGGCAGTAAATTAAGGAAGGTCTTGGGGAAAGTGAGATCTACAAAGATTGCTACATCAATCTCTCCCTGTATTACAGACACATAACAAATTTTTACTCATTAATTAGTGTGAACCCAGTCAACCGTGCAATCACAAACATGTCTACAGGAAAAGGAACTTTATCCAGTACTGAGTGTGCCACTACTAATGTTCAATCCACTCCAGTTTGCTCCCACACAAAGAAGGCATATTCTGAACAAGGAAGCTCATCTGCCTCCCATGCTCATTTACCAGCTGTTCCCCCTCTTTCACATCAAGAAATGTGTCCAGCGTTCCTTGAAAGAGCAGGAAATCGGGATTTAGGCTGGTTTCAAACATGAGGCACAAGGGCAGGACTAGCTGGACAGAGATGCCAGACAGGCAAGTCCCAAGCCATTTATGGCCATTTGAGGTTTAAACACGTGATTTCACCCAACTAAGATACTTTCAGCAAAATAAATTAGCTGACACTGACAGTATTCAACTGCAAAAATGGTAATTTTTAATAAACATAGAAGCCTTCCAAAATAACATACTATTATAGGCCAGTCTCAAGGTGACAAAGGCATGTACTATAAAGCTGCAAGAAAAAACAAAACGAAACAAAACAAACCAAACAAAATAGAAACATTATTTTTAGTCACAACTGAGCAAAGCTGTCCAGGTTTCTGTTGAAAGTGATCCCAGCAGAGACAGCCAGCAATCTCAGAGCTGTGATCACAGCTGACAAGATGGACAGGTTCACAGGGCACAAGTTATACTCTCCAAATGGCTATTTCCCCATTCTCCCTTTGGTCACCTCTACTGAAGGAAGCGTATTTGCTTTGCTCTAAATTATAATCCAGAAATTAAATATAACTGTACTTTCTGGGTTAAGTATATCACTTGC